CCAAAGTGCACACACACAGCAGTGAACACACACACCGTGAACACACACCCGGAGCAGTGGGCAGCCATTTATGCTGCGGCGCCCGGGGAGCAGTTGGGGGTTCGGTGCCTTGCTCAAGGGCACCTCAGTCATGGTATTGAAGGTGGAAGAGAGCGCTGTACATTCACTCCCCCCCCCTACAATCCCTGCCGGTATGAGACTCGAACCCGCAACCTTTGGGTTATGAGTCCGACTCTCTAACCATTAGGCCACGACTTCCCCGCTTATTTTATGAAATATGTTTACAATTTAACACAACTGTTTTATATTTTAAAATGTATACAAATGTAATTTATTCCTGTGATGGAAAAGCTGAGTTTTCAGCAGCCATTACTCCAGTGTCTTCAGTGCCACATGATTGTTCAGAAATCAATCTAATATGCTGATTTGCTGCTCCCAAAAAAAAAAAAAAAAAGTGCTGTTTTGTTCAGAATGTTTTTGATGAATAGAAAGTTCAAAATATTTTTTTTAAATAAATGTCTTTACTGTTACTTTTGAATTGAATGCATCCTTGTTGAATAAAAGTATACATTTCTTTCAAAAAAAAATCCATACATACATACTATATTCATACATGCATACATACTATCCATAAAATCCAAACTTTTGAATGGTACTGTAGGTCAATGCCAATAGCATTTAAACATTCAATTATCTGCCATGACTAACTCTTTTAACCGTTATTCTTTCCTGAAGGGATAATGAGAACTTGTGGAGAGAACTGGACTCATTAAGATAGAACTATCAGCAGCAGCACAAAATCATACGCAAGGTAAATGAAAAACACATTTGAAAACTATATAGTGTTATTTCAGTTTTTCTTTTTTAATAAATCTGCATAAATGTCAACAATTCTGTGTTTTTCTGTCAATATGGGGTGCTGTGTGTACATTAATGAGGAAAAAAAATTAACTTAAATGATTTTAGCAAATGGCTGCAATATAACAAAGAGTGAAAAATTTAAGGGGGTCTGAATACTTTCCGTACCCACTGTATATATATATATATATTGATAATCACTATACAAAACTCTCCTATCCTGTCACTCCTTTTCAGATTATAAAGTTCATCATCAACATCGTTCAGTCAAATGGGATAAAAGGTTGCAAAAGAAGACTGTAAGTTTATTCACTTAAAGTACACAAAATGTCTTCATAGTCAGTGAGAAATGTGATTATTTGCAATTTCAGCTATCTCTTCTCACATTACATTTCCTTTCTCCACACTAACAGCCCCATGATCGACAAATCTGGGGAGTTTCAGTCCGCACCGAAATACGCCCGTTCCTTCAGTGTGAATCCCACCCTTACCACTTCCCCCCTACAAGAGAAGAGATCCCTTCGTTGCAAGAGATGCATGCTAAAATCTTTGTTTAATCTAATTTATTTTTCTAAGTTTGAATTCTTGACTCTCTTCACCTAACACGATGCCGATAAGTAATAAAAGCAGCTTGATTTCTGTCATATTGAAAGTAAGTGACATCTCTGTGGGTTTCTGGGAAGCTGGATGTGTCACCAGCTGACGTGTACTCAAATGGCATGATCATGTCTGACATCACCCACTTGCTGGATCCCACACCTGAGCCTGACAGGTTAGAGAGCAGCAGTGCATCTGTAGTCTTCATCCTCTACAGAACTCTTGTATAGAACTCTTGTATTTTGTATAATTAGAGGTTTTTAAACGTACTCCTTTACTGGGTAAAATAAAAAAGGAACAAAGTACTTTTCAGGGTTTTACAGTCTATTTTCCACTGTCATTTGTGTTTTCGGTTTTACAGAGAGCCAGTGACAGAAACCCTTCCCGCAACTCACACCACATTTGTATCTCCCGCCGCCCCGACTCTGCCCTCCATGGAGGTGGCGTTGACTTTGCTGGATGACCCAGCTGCCCAGGAGTCTGAGGAAATACCCTCAGAAAGGTTAGCTAGCAAACTGATCATGTGTGGCATTTATTTTATAATTATAACAGATCCCTGTTCTGTTTTATCAGTAACTCAATTATTTTCATAGGGCTTCACAACTGAGGGGAAAATCTAATTGCGATTTTTCTGATAATTTTTTTTTTTAATTGTGATTTAAAATGCAGTTTGCCAGATTTGTTGTGCTTATTTTTAGGGCTGATCAGTTTGGCCAAAAATTATGATTATACATAAATATGACAATAAAATAAGAAATTTTACTTTAAGACTATTTCACTCTAAAATAAAAATTTAGTCTAAGAAAATAATAGAATACATTTTTTTATTTTACAGTAGATCTGTAAAATTACAATAATAATATTTGTTTCTTTATCTTCAAGTAGACATCAGATGCTAAATTCATTTTTACATGGTGTTTGCATATAAATGTGTCTTAGCAGTGTGTGGACACAACCACCCTACAATGATAAAATCCACTCAAAAAACCTAATCAGTCTCAATTATCAAGCCATTTTGATTTTCTGAGCAGTTTGATGTCATACTGCTCAGGCTCCGCCCACGACCGCTATATTAGCGTATTTCAGCCCTCAGCCAGTTGGACTCTGTCGGCCATTTTCTCCACGCTCGAGCAGCTGTAGCGACCATAGACTGTAAAAAAAGATGGACGACGCATCTCCTATTCCTTCCACTATATAAAAGTGAAGCCAAAGCATCTCAGTATGGCCGCTGCCATCTTGAGTAAATGACGTCATTTGGAGCCAGAGTCTGCGCAGTAGAGATTTGTTTGGAGCCAGTCTGCGCAGTAGTGTTGTGAGGTGGAGCCGCGGTATCAAACTCCCGCCCAAACTTCACTTTCCCGCAGCTTCACTTTTCAGGACGTGTGAGGCACACCCGGTAGTGACAACGTCTCATAAGCAATGCGGGTGTATTGTAGTTGGATGTAAAAGTGAACATAAGCGTCTTCATTTTCTCCCAACATCAGAGCCACTGAGGACGCAGAGGATCAGTTTTACAAAAAAGAATATATACACACACAAAAAAAAATGGTAGAGGGGTGGAGTGAGCAGTAGCTCATTATCATTTAAAGAGACATGCACCAAAACGGGTCACTGTGAACCGAGTTGTTTTTGACAAGGTAAAAAGGGTGTTGTTTTACACGACCATTGAGAAATTTTAACCAAAGTATGTTGCAGACATTTCATGAAGACCATAAAGAATCATAACAACTTGTGGAAAATGGGCATCCGATGTCCCCTTTAAAACATTATGCCTAAAATCTTTTATTTTGGTGAAAAACCGCAGATTTACAGCTTCTCCTTCATTGGCAACAGATTCTAAATGCTTCTCATTAAAAATCCGCTAAAATGTTTGGTGTATTGCATTTTCAAATGCAAGCAACCCAAACTAACTGCACTTTGCAGAGATGGAGATCATATGAAGCAGCATTTACTGCAAACCAAGTTGCTCTGAGACACTGAAAACACTGTTATCCTGAGCAGCTCGCATACTGTATAAATAAACGCAGTGCTGTGATTCACTCTAAAACACACGGCGCATACACTATCACACTAAAACATTTTGATTAAATGTTCAGCCCGAATATTACACTCCCCTTCTTCTCTTTATAACAGAAATTATGTGTCTAATCCACTGGCACTGATTGACTCCAGGTTAGCAGCGATCCGCTCATGCTCTCCACCCTCACCAGACCTGGACAATTTCAACAAGGTCTGACTTACAACATCATTGAAAAATACAACACAGATGCTATTACAAACCACACTGCTTCAGTTATAGTTAACAAGCTTATGTATGATCTGACATGTTTGGTTTCATGTTTATGGTAGATCTTTACCCCTGACTGCCACATCTCTGCTGTTAAAGACTCCAACACAAAAACCGAGAGCAAACAGAGAAGGCAGAATGAAGCAAACACGTTACCTCACGCCAACACAGGTACACACATATACACCCACGCTTCCCTCTCACACACCGTCCCGAACCCACACATGAATTCAGAACTTACACTTATGGTTTTTTTCACTATATTGTGTTTGTGCAGTTACACAGCAGCAGCAGAGCCTGCACCAAAATGCAGACCCGGAGCAGGAGCGCTACGATAGTGGAGAGTATTCGGATATATTACCATCCCTTCTGCAACTGGCGTAGGAAGCATCCAGCCTATCCTTCAGTAACCCTACACTGCCTTTAGAGCTCTCTTTTGTCATTTAAAACTCTGATGCATTTGACATTGTGAAATAAAAAAAAATCCGTTAATGCAACCTCTGCATTGGGTGCTGTTGTAAAGTCAGCATTTCTGTGTGGGAGGCTTGCCATGATGAGCATTAAAGGTTTAATCTAGCAGAAAATCTGCTGCATACTCACCCACCATTTGTTTAAATGAATAATAACTCTTTTATTTGCTCAATTAAAAGTTACTTGAGTGTATGATATGCTATTGATACACAAAAAAGTTTGTAGCACTAAAACATTTAAAATGTCACAAAAAATGTAAAGTAATAGTGATTCATCATAGTATCTCCCATGTGATGCAAAAAATATATATATATAAATTCATAATCTGTTTATTTAACAGTTCATCTTCTTTAGTAATAAATTTCTCTGCTGAAATGTAAAGATATGGTCGCCAACTATATGATAGCACACTAGTTTTGAGACACAAGATTGTTTAGAATAATTTCTTATGTGGATCAGTTATTTTGCTGTACCTGATTGTTATATAATGTCTAACTAAAGGCTAGAATATATGTTTATTGCTTAAATATCACTATAGCATATTTTAGGTTTCTTATAACAATATGTGTTATGTAAACGCAAGATAAAATGTTCTAAAAAAATTGTAATGCCCATTTTCTTTCATACACAAATGTAGCATTTTTTTCTTTTTATAACAGGCAATCAGCAAAATGTGGCTTCTCTTGAACAGGAAGCTCTCACACACATACGCCAGCCCACACAGAGAGCAGATACATTTAGGCTAGAAAAGGGAAGACTGAAACAAACCTAAAACAACAAGTGCGCTATGTGACCTGTCCAAGATGATATTATTTTTAGTCAGTCTTTTCTTTGGGAACATTCCTTCATTTGCATTTTCAGCATTCCAGCCAAGTGAGTATTTTACAACTACACCATTCTGAAATGAAATTTATTTTTTCCCTTATTATTTTGATTTGATATCATGTTGCCTAAAATACCTAGTATTAAAAAACAAAAGGTTTAAAGGATTAATTTCGAAACTATTAAACAAAACAGTAGGGTTTGTTGGCTTTTGATTCATTTCTTCCCCTTTTTGTGGTTTTATATGCTCTCTAAAACTACCGAAGTATGTGGTTCTACAACAGTTAAGATGTTAAAATGTAATATGTTAACATATATAGGGGCTAAAAAGTCTGGCGGCAGAGATTGTTTCATCAGCAGAGGTGACATTTCCATATTACTGAAGAGCTGACAAATGTTCAGTTGCTTGCCTTCCAAAATGGCTGGTCTGTGGCCATGATTCACACACGCAACATGAGCTTACCACATTTTTGTTACAGTTTTTCATACAATGACTAAATCAAAATATTCTAAGAATTCTTATGTAATACTACAATTGAATTTTAATCAGTAAGACGGTATAAAATATTGTTTTTGACTGAAAACATACATATTTCCTGTATGTATACGTTTCTTTCCAGTCTTCACCGGCTGAGCATCCTCTACTGACAAACTACATGCATTACAAGCTGTCATTTATATATTATGTACATTAGAATTAAAAATAAAATAAGGTTCTTTTAAAGATGAATTTAAATGTTAACTTTCTCTCTTCTTTACCCAGAAATAAACTGCCTTATCATAAACCTGGACTATGTTAATTGCACGTGGAGTGAGCATGAGCAAAGTTACAGTTTCAAGAGCAAGTGCGTATGTTCAACAAAATAGAAAAACCTGCATTTTTGGATAAACATTTCAGGACTGACATTAGCATGTGATTTCTCTTAGGTTTTCACATAACAAAACTCTGGATTGTCCTAAATATCTCAAGATTAAAGGTGTTAACGTGGGCTGCATTTTAACCTACAAAAACCCACAACGGTTTAATACTTTAAACACATGGCTGTACAGTGACAACGGCAGTTTGGTGACAGAGCAGAAACATGAAAACATGAAAGCATCTGGTATTAGAAATTATTCATATTTAATATGACTTGCAAATAATTATATGGAAATGACCGGCTGATGGATTGATACTTTATATGTGTTGTTAATCAGTGAAGCTTTATCCTCCATTCAACCTGTCTGTGGTGGAGAAAAAAGATGTTGCACTGTGGCTGTACTGGAATATTACAAGGAACGTCTGCATTGAGAGTGAAATTCGTTACAGGACAGACAACAATGCCTGGAAGGTATGAAATTAATTTGATAAAACTAAACTCTGACATTGTATAGTAATTTAATATGGCCTCTAATGGCTTACTGATTTATTATGAGAAGCATTTGCTGACATTGAAATCAACAGCATTTTAGCGATGTCCACATCAAAATAAATGGACAAAAGTGGGTTTATAGAAAGCATATCAAATGCAACTAAAGTGTCTACTTTAACGATTTCAAATAACTTTTGTGAAAAAATGTCAAAATATGGGTGAAATAATGTTCCATCGCCATTCAGTCTCAGATGTATTTATGTAAAAAAAAATGAAACAACATACTTATTCTGACATGCGCTTATTAAATATAAAAGAATAAGTGATCATACTAAATTGTATTATACGTTAAATGATTTAAAACTTCTTGCTGACAAATGGGTAATACCTACTTGTTTAAAGGAGAGTGGCAAAGATTAGCAAAGATTTAAAATTACGATTAATAAAAAAAATTTCAAATTACTTTGTGTGTTTGTGTGTGTGAACCTTTAATAGAGTTTTTTAATGTCCTCTGATGATTCTTGTTCTAAATATGCCAGACAAGTTTTTTGGTATTTACACTAGTATTGTTACACTGAATGATGGTCTTTTTTTTTTTTTTGCTCAGAAAAAGATGAAATTAAGCAGAACACCTTCTTTAATTCTTTCACATTCTCATTCTTTCGTTAAAGCCGTATTATACTTTTATTGTATTGATGCTTGAAAAACCCTTTTCGTCTTTGATTCAGTTCCAAACGACACCAAAGCAACTACTGCCCTCTTTTGCCTTGTCTAAATACCCTCACTTGCGGTCTTTGCACTTGACCACTTTTATGAAGTATTTCCTGTATTTGGTCCAAGTGTTCAAGTGAGCATGAAGACCACAAGTGTGTGTAGAACTTTTCATTATCTGATGGGACGCACATATAGTGTTGTAAAAATGCAAGTGTTTACAGAGATTTATTTTTACTTTCAATACTTTGCATTTAAAATCAACTTATAAATGTCTCAGTAGTCCCTATAACAGATGACACAATTTAATTTTGTGCTGCTTCTAATTAAGTGATAAAAAGCAGTTGCAAATGTACAAAATAAATATCACTACTACTCATTTGCACCAATAAAACCTGCAACTCTCTGTTTTACTACCAAATTATATGTAATATCTAATTATCATTAATATTTAACATACATTGGAAAGGTTTCCATGACCTCTCGCGAGATCTCGGCGTTTTTAAGACCTGGGACAGTCTTGCGGACTTACTTCATGTCGTGCGCACGCTCTCTCAAATGGCCAAGACAGCAAGTGTGGGTATTTGGACAAGGGTTTGAAGCGGGGTTTTGAACTTATGTATCGATTGAGTAAATGATTCAGTGACTCGTAACAAAATGTCACTTTTTTCCCCCTGTATTAATCGCTGTTGAAAAAGACAAGTCACTTGTCGCCACCTATCGGCTTAATTACGTAACATGCGAAGAGATACGTCCAAAAATAATAATAAGAGGCATTTGCACTTAAAAAAGAACAAGACATTGTTACTATGCCATATCTTGTTGGAACTCCTTATTAAATGGTAAAGTGATTTGCTGAGATAAAAGAGAAAATCCCAGTGCTTGACGACTAATCAATTTCGAGGACCGTAAGTTAACTGTTGTATAAATTGTCATAGTATGCTTCTCACCTTGTGGTCGTCTGAACACCAAACAACACAAACACGCGGCACAATTAACATTTCTCTTCCCTAGAACACCACTCCAGGCCACATAACCTCCTTCAGTTTGCCGTTTCCCTCAAAAAAGCGGTATGAGTTCCAGGTCAGGGCTCGAATAGGGTCTTCCTGCGGAGAGTCCATGTTTTGGAGCGACTGGAGTGAGCCTGTCTACTGGGGATCTTTAAAGGCCAACAATAACACAGGTAACTTATCTTATCTGTATTACAAGTCTCTCAGCGCTTTATCTGCCTAGTAGTATGCTGCAAATGAAAAGGATGAAGAAGCGCTTTCTCGACGCCTCGTGAGAACAGCCAATCAGAACAAGTTCTCTCTGCCCGTGCGTGCGCTCACACTCTGCAGCACATTGTATTTTCATGCTTTCCGTAATGCATCACCTCTGACAGGATCAGGATGCTTTTTTTATGTTGCAAGTGAGGAATTTGTTTTAATCCTTCCACAACCAGTTTCATGTTTGATGGTTAATATACATGACGCACTGGTTGTACCAGGGCCTGTCCAAATATCTTGCAGTCTTTGCACTTGACCACTTGTTGACTCATATGATGTACTGTGTAGTATTGTAAAAATGCAAGTTTTTTCATTACTTGCACATTTTGATTTTCAATACTTAAAAATGTCTGTTCAGTTGAGCCTATGTAATTGTGATTAAGTGATAATGTTGCAAACCTTTTACAAAATACACATGAAAGATGATGGGATAGGATAAGCTTGGCCTCAAATACCACTCAGAAGTCAGAAGGGGCACTGAACACTGAAACTGGGACAGTCGAGTGCAAAGTCTCAAGTGGCCAAGACTGCAAGGGTGGTATTTACAGGCCCACTGTCAGTTAAAGGAGCAATATGTAACTTTTTTTACTGTACAAAAGCATAAACATATGTTTGCAAAGATTTTGCTGGATTGAAAAAACAATTATGAAATCTTTAGCAGTGGCCTTAATGACAACTCTTTTCCCCAGAGAGTCCGAGTAACATGTCTGGGACGTCACTGGTGCTGTATATAGCGGGAGCCCTAATAATTCTCATCATACTCTCCTGCTTGCTTGTTCATAGCGAGAGGTCTGAAACCCTTTTTCTTTATTTTAAACATTGCATTTTAATTTTCCACAGTATCTTTTAATTCAATAGAAGTGTTTTATTTATGATAATTTGATGTGTAATGTTCCTTAGGTTAAGAATCATTTTAATACCAGTGGTACCAAATGCAGGACGAAATGTAAGCAATTACTTTGCAGCCCTTTTTGACAATTATAATGGCAATGTTGAGGTAAGCAACAGTTATTATTTTTTCAATCGTGTACCATCCTTGAATAGTGGTAAAGAGGTAATGTGTGAATGAATTTTTTTTGTCATACAGAAATGGCTGTCCATGCCTAAAGATCTGGAGAACGGCTTCAAACCCAATTTCACAGAGCGTGCCTGCCCTGTGCGCGAGTACAAGACAGTGTCCCAGTCCAGCACTGACAGCGAAAGCATCCTCTCAATCCCAGCTCACAGCTCATCAGCCTCCACCATACCTGGATCTGCCGAAACCTCACAAACCCAAGATCAATCGCAAGTGGATATTCCAGTCTAAATCTTCATCTTTATCTGAGGCAATTAAAATTGAGAGTTTATCTTTGAAATTAGAATCTTGATTGAAAAGAAAAATATTTCCAAGTGTAAAAGGGTTTTGCATGTGTTATATAATGATGAATCCCAGTCGAATCTAGTATTGGCATTTTGAAATCTTTTTTTTGTATCAACTCAAAACAAGGAATGATAAACATTCAGTTGCTTCTTTTAAGCAGGGTAATGTAGTGTTTATAATTGAAATAGTGCTCTTTTTTTGTTTGTTTTACATAGTTTGGAGTTGGTTTTTGTTGTAATAGGTCAGGTGGAGTTGCAGCATAGTAGTCATGTTTTTAGGGTCGCTGGAAGGAATGCTTCTATAAGATTAGCGTTTTTGCCAGCAGTGACTGTTATATCAAAGTGTAAGATGTGTCTGTGATAACATTTATACCTAGTACAAAGTAAATTCTAGAATCTGATTTGCATACTGGTGGGGAAATCCCATCACCTACACACCCATGTATTATCTGATTATTTAGCGGAGTGTTATTTGTGATTCTATTTGTAATTATTAGTGTAGTTTCATATATATTTGCAGGAATTACACTTCAGCTGCTCTGAAATGTTATTTTTAGATTATTCTGTTTTTCTAGACATATATATATATTTGTTTTTAATGTATAGTATCTTTATCATACCATATCGTAAAAGGCCCTAAAGAGGCACCTGAAATCTTCAAATTAAACAATGTTGGTAGCATATGTATCTTGATTAATGATCTATTCGGTTTTCATTAGGATTTATTTTTGCACTTTTAGCTTGTTGCTCATCTGTAGTACTCTGATAAAGTGCCACATTTTTGACATTCAACATACTTTTGAGACTTGAATTTGCTATTTTAAGATTATTAGATGAAGACAAATATGATGCTTAATGTAATGCTTTTACAATTTCTGAATAAAAACATTCAAATTCACATCATTCACAATGTCTGTGATAAAATCATTATTTTTTTATTTTTTTCACAGTAGATTTTGATGTTTGAGCTCATCTGGAAGTGGGATGCTTAAACTGCAAGAACATCAAGTACATTAACATCTTCAAATTTATGAAATCAAGATTGTGACACGCTAAAGAATCATTAGAACAGGTCTTAGGCACATGAATATTTTAAATGAGCAGATACTTAAAAATTACCCTCCAAAAAAAACTTACTATGAATAAATAGCATGCACTTTGAGTGTATACGAGTATAATGATCTGGTATTGTGCAAGTCAATAACATTATTACTGTGTAATTTTACATATAACATGGATTGTCACAATTTAAACATCATACTACTGTTAAAGGCTACGAACAACACAGAAAGACATTTATCCAAGCTGGTCTTCATATTGTTTTCTGAAGCAGTCTCCAGCAGGGAAGAAATCCCAGCATCTCTCTTGGTACATCTTCCACACGTATGATTCCTGTCAAACACACATATTATATTTAGATCACTTTTCATATTTATGAATTATGAACATTGTGACACATCTTACCTGCCCAGTGTGCTCGGTTTCATCCTTGTTGATTAAGTACATCAGGAAGAACCTAATGAAGAGAGAGAGACTGTATAAGATGTCTGAAGATGGAGAGATTGTATAACATAAGAAAGGTGGCAGAAAACCGAATCGCTCACATGTAATTGGCCAGGTTGTGTTCTTCAAGAGTATGCGTCTCAAAGCCATGTGGAGTTGTATCAAAGTAATCACTCCCAATACCACATATAAAGCATTTGGTCTGGCAATGCAAAGCGGAAAAGCAGATACATTGCTAAGCATTTAAAAACGTAATATGTATTTTTCTTTATTGAACCGTAAAGATCTCAGTACCTCCATGTCTTCTTTTACTTGCTCTTGCTGGTCTCTCAGCTCACCAAAAGCATCAATGATCAGACCTGTGCAGACAAACACGCATTGAATTGCAGTGCAGTGTTTTCAATCTAATCCAGAAAATTTTATTTCATAGCCAGTCATAAATGTATAATTTAATGCGGTAGATTTGCTAGGCCAAGTTGAATAGAAACATAAGTCTCACCTTGAATGATGGCCAGCAGGATGACGATGACAAAGAAGAAAAAGGTGATGTCGAAAACCACCCGACAGAGTTCATACTCATCCCCTGCTGGGTCCTCAATCTCGTCTCCTATACCTCCACCTGCCCGCACACCCACGTACATGTGGAACAGATAACACTGAGAAGAGAGAGCGAGAGATGTGTTGGATTACACAGCAGGTGTTTGGTTAGGGGAGAAGTGCAGAAAAAAAATGAGCAATCCCCAACAAAAGGTTTTACAAAATGTTTGTTACTGTACAACTCATAAAGACATTATTAGAGAAGGAGAAAAAAAGGCAATTTGACACCAATAGTGTTTTATAATGCAGTGACCAACCGTCATCATATCGTCACACTTCATGTCCGGCTCGTCCTCATCCTCGCTCTTATTGTAGAACTTCCTGAAGAAGTTAAAGGCCACCACAGTGTAGAGGTACACAACCACAGCCAGCAAACCCACAGTCATCATCAGCTGAAACAAGCCAACAGTGTGTGTAAGTTCAGATTTTCAGAACCAGTTTGAGTTTTGTTGTATTACACAGCAGGTGTTTGGTTAGGGGAGAAGTGCAGAAAAAAAATGAGCAATCCCCAACAAAAGGTTTTACAAAATGTTTGTTACTGTACAACTCATAAAGACATTATTAGAGAAGGAGAAAAAAAGGCAATTTGACACCAATAGTGTTTTATAATGCAGTGACCAACCGTCATCATATCGTCACACTTCATGTCCGGCTCGTCCTCATCCTCGCTCTTATTGTAGAACTTCCTGAAGAAGTTAAAGGCCACCACAGTGTAGAGGTACACAACCACAGCCAGCAAACCCACAGTCATCATCAGCTGAAACAAGCCAACAGTGTGTGTAAGTTCAGATTTTCAGAACCAGTTTGAGTTTTGTTGTACTGACTGTACCTGTTTTCCGTTGTGTGTGACTGCGGAAAGAATTGTACGCAGGGTCTTGACACCCATTGCGATGTCCAGCAGGTGACAAGCAAAGAAGAAATTGTTGTAATGTCCAAGAAGTGACATAACTGTGTACCACACCAGGTAGAGGAAAGTCTGTAAATAAAAACAAAACAAAACAAAACACATGAGCCCACTTGACTTGAACTTTGTTTTGCAAAGTCTGCGATTTTACAAAATACTGCAGATTTTAACACCTGAAGAAAAAATGACTTACATTGTCTGTAAACACAACTCCAAATTTCCAGATCTGATACTTGATGTCAATGGCAGTGAGCCTAAAAGATAATATGGAACGAAAATCTAATACTTGACAGTTTTGGGGAAAGTTACTTTTAAAAGTAATGCATTACAATATTGCATTACTCCCTAAAAAAAGTAACTAATTACGTTACTTAGTTACTTTTTATGGAAAGTAATGCGTTATATTACTTTTGCGTTACTTTCGCGTTACTTTTTAAATATAAGCAGGGCTTGATTGTTTTTAATATAAGAAGTTCTATTTATAGCAAATATAAAAGCCCTTTCACACCAAAAAGTGTAATGAATAAACCTCAGGCTGAAGGAAAAGTAAATTCACGTCTGTACAGTAGAACGCAGGAAAAGAAACACTCTTCAGCAATAAAAAAACAAAGCACAATTGTTAGTTTCTCTAAAGTCATTTTTGCTTATTAGTATGGTTGAACTGGATCATCAAAGGTCAGCAGCAAAGATATTGGTTAATAAAATGGGATTAGATACATTTGTGTTATTTAACATTTAATTATTGCAGGTTTGCGTCGCATTTACATATTGCGTCAGTTTTAATTAATTTTGATGAATACTAAATCTGTTTTTTGTGAGTGGGATGAATTAATGCACATTTACATTTAGTCTAGAACTACAGTAACATCATGTTCACACAGCGCACACAATGCCTCTGTACTTCTGATTTCTCCCAATATGGGGACAGGAGAGCTGTCAGTCAATAAACGGGAAAACAAAGTAAATGGCATTACTTTTTTGAAAAAGTAACTCAGATCTTTTCTTGTAAATTAAAAAAGTAATGCATTACTTTACTAGTTAAAAGTAATCTGATTGTGTAACTCGCATTACTTGTAATGAGTTACCCCCAACACTGATACTTGATCTCCTATAAAAACACTGCTTTGACCAGTGGTGTAGTTTTAGGGATTATGTGTTTGGCTGACCAATTGCATACAGGAGGAGCATTTCAAACATCTTTGAAAAATCTGTATTTTTGCAATTCTGTTTGGTGCCACTAGTGGCAAAAAAATAACATGTAACCACAAATTAATATCTTAAAATGTCACAGAATTATGTCACTTGTAATGTATTTTTAATACCATGCAAGCATAGAGTTGTCTGGCTCTTCGGGTTTCTTGTCTGTCTGTTGTTTGCTGACATCCAGCGATGCCAGGTCCATACCCAGCAGCTCTGCAATTCGCTCACGTCCATAAATATCTCCGTATTTATCCAGAACCTTGCCAAAGGAAACAAGAACATCATGGCCTCATAAACACACTAATTTTAAACCTAAACACCAATGATCAGAAAGAATATTGATTTACCTTTCGCTTAACAAATTTGTCCCAGTAGTTGGAGGGAAAGGAGCTAAAACAATGATAAAGAGTTTTAATTACATTTTTTTTTTTTAAGAAAAACTATGACCACAGCTGGCTGGGTCTGCTAACACACACTTATTAGTCCATCCTAACACCCTAGAGCATTAAAGAGACATAAATTAGGGCCCACATATGGGCAAAACCAGTTTGACCTCAAAACAGAATCTAACTGAACTTTTCTGCACACTTACGGTGTGTTTAGCACCAATCTGTCCCACTGGCCTTTGATGTCATCATCCTCTGGCTGTTCAGTGATGTAAAGGCCATCAAACTCCAGCTTTCTTGCCAGCTCTTTCTCTCTCTTAAAGATGACCAGTGGAATCTAACAGACCACGACATCATGATAACTCAAGTCTGATAATGACAAGTTCAAGCACTAAAATATAAATCTAGTGGTTCAAACCTTGAGGCAGTTGTATCCAATGATGGATAAGAAAGCGATGATGGTGTGCACAATGGCCAGGCAGGTCAGAGTGGGCTGCATGTATCCGGTACTCTCTTCCAGGAAAAAATACACAGGACCTTCCTCATCATCATCGCCTTCATCCTCTCCACCAGAGCCCTCAAAGTCCTCCCCAGAGCCTTCAAACTGCCCAGAGCTTTCAAACATACCTGAGCCGTCAAACTCATCAGTAAACGGAGGAGTATCAGATACCTGGGGAAAAGAAAAAAAAAAAAGACAGGAACATTAGATTTTATTTTTACATCTATGTGCGTTTTAAAATAAAATTATTGTGAGGCACGCCATTTTGATTGAATTAAATTAAACATGTAAACAAAAGGACATATAAACAAGCCTAGAAATCCAAATAAACCACTTATTAAAATTGGATAATTTGTGTGAAAATCTAAAATAGGTTTTCCGACCTTGTAGAAGAGAAGAATGAAGTTCAGGGCGAAGGCGATGAACAAAGCCAGGAAACGAAGGTTGTAGAAGTTGCGGGACAAACAGTTCTGTAGATGGAAGTGGCGATGAACAGCAAATCAAAACCTGTAAATCGTAACTAAAACTCATAGATTCAAGATTTAGAAGAAAAATATATATTTCTCCTACCATGAATTTATTTCTTTGAACATCCAATTCATTCCAGAGCTCAAATCCTGCCCCCTTGGCTGATTTCTTTTCCTTCTTGGCTTTGGTGGCTTTCTCAGGTTTTGGCTCTTCTGGTGTCGTC